CTGCAAAGCCTATAAATTAAGTAATCCTTGGGAAGCCTGCAGTTAAATCTGCCATAGGGTTGAGATTTGCCTGGACTTCATCCAAATACTGAGTTTCAAAATTAACTGGTTTCACAGGATGTTGGGTTTGGGGATATTTGGGAATTTTTAAACTATTAAGTAAAGAAATAAACTGAAACCCTTAAGAATCTGTCGTACATGAATCCCATCGGGTTAGGAAGGCACCAGAAAGGACTCAAGCAACGGAAATAGAAATGAAGATGAAACTGTCAGGGACTGATTAATGTAAGAAAAGATATTTCTTGGAGCTTATACATATTGGAGTATAGGTAACATATTCCAAGAAACACTGACTACAGGGAGGACAAATTGCACAAATGCCATGAAACTTTGCTTGCAGTCTTTCCTCCCACAATAGTTTAGAATTCCTGTGATTGAGAAAGGTCATCTGTGTTACGCAGGGATATGTAGTATTAATGCATTACAGCCCTCTCTACACCAAAGGCAGGTCAAAGCAAAGTTCAGTTAATACTTTCCGCAAGAGCTTTCTGCATGAAGTAGGGACCTGCCAAATGAACCTTTATTAAAACCTCTTGCAGTTTAATCACTTGTACTGTAACAATCACCTTCCCACACTTCAGACGCCCTTTCACTCTATGCCTTCAGCCAAAAAGCATCTAACTTTGTCTTCTTCAGTTGCCATTCCGTCAACAAACTGGATTACCGTTTCCAAATGCGCTCTTTCTAGAAGGGAAATCAGGCATGACTGATGGATGAGTGAAAACTGTAATTCCCAGCACATCCCCAGTTGCAGATCACATATCCCCATTGAATAGCTAATCATACAGTGGAACATATTCTGGCTAGAAATGGAAAGGTAGCTGCAGTAATTCCCAGGTTACAGAGGTGCCAGCAGTCACGCTGGGAGCTCCACAAACATTTGGGTGCATCTCCAGGAAGATGCTGCTGGTTTAGGGAAGTCAGAAGTGCCACATGAATGACATGAAGCCTCTTCATAATATAAGCTGTGCCTGCCAGGAATAAAGCAGGAAGTGCATGAGGATACAGTGAGCAACTTGCTGAGTTGAGCTGAAAGCAACCAAGAGAGATGCTCCTGCTCTAGCAAGTGGAGCGTACAGGTTGAGATTTTTAGGTCCTCATGTAAAACAAACCCCATCCATCAATAGAGTGGCTGAATTCTACCTCAAACTCTGAAAAATAAAGAAGCTTTATTTTAGCATCATTATTTATTGAACTTGCAAGGTTTATCAGGGACTTTTTCACAGTCTGAAATAAATCTGCCATGAAAGGCCTGAGGGCCATGTAAAGAGGAGGCAACAACACTGGCTGATAGTCAAATTGTGTCTATCCATCGATTTAGGGGTGACTAACTTCTGCAAGAAGGAAAGCAGTGAAGAAAATGGTCATAGCAACCTGTACACCAACTTACCACCCTTAAACTGATGTGAAAATATTAGAGCATCTCATTTCTACTTCCACTAGACCCTGCCTGCTGCTAGAGAGGACTCTGGGCTGACATTAGCCTCCTGAAACTGCTGTAAGGAGAAAAGGCCATAGTCTAGAAGGCAGTTTGTAGAGCAAGATGATCTCCTGGCCTGGAGAAGAACTATCAAACCATAACTATGCTTGAAGTCCCTCTCTCATGGGGAGATGTTCAAAAACAGCCTTGGGGGGTCATTATCAGGCCTCCCAGATAAGCATGGAACCTCTGCTAGACACTGGGCAGTGGGTAAATGGAAAACCTGAATGCACATTCAAAACGGGACACAAAGCTGAATAGCCATAGTTTACCCAGTCAGTCTGTGATAACAAAGGAAGGAAACCATGAGTGTCACCAGCGGCACAGAAGAGCCAGAATGGAATATTCAAACAAGAAACAAAGAGGTGATAAGGCTTCAGGGTGGAAAAATACTGGAAACAAACACTGAGGAAAGCATTGAGGGGGGGAAGATAAAGCGACTGGAGTGATGAGATTGGATTCATGAACACGTTTGACCTCTCTTTTGAATAATGTGTGCTCTGTGTTAGAGCTTGCTGCAGGGTTTCAGCACTCAGCTGAAGAATGAGCATGTTGGAGATACTGTGTTTTGGCTGGGTGTTGGGGCTGGCTCCTACAGCAAGGTTCATAGCATCTCCTGTTGGTTCTGCTAATCCCCCATCCAGAAGGAGAGCTCCGGTAAGGGTTTGGAAATGAATTATAGTTGAAAAGTTCTCAAGTGATCAAAGGCAAAGCAGAACTTTATGGTCCTGGTTTGGTTGATCAAAGTGGGAGCACGACTGGGCCCTTTGCAGGCTGCAGAACTGAGCTTCTCATAGACAGCACGTGGGAAAAGGTGTGTGAGCAACTGAAAGAGATAAGGCATCTGTGAAACATGGAGTTCTTTAGTTCATGTTCTCATTCCCCAGATCCTGGGGAAAAACCATCTATGGCTGACAGAAGGCTGCCAAATTAATTCCTGATGCAGCTCCGAAAGCTGAGGGCTGCTCTACCTGTGGCCACTTCCCATCAGCAGTTCAACTGCAGGTACTTTTATTCAGAGTCAAAGTGCCTCTCCTTCAGCTCAGTTCGATGTAGTTTGGAACACAGCCTCATTTGAAAGAAGCCCACCCACAGTTTTGTACCGATTGGGGTAATTATAATCATGTTTTACTTGGGTTGAGTTTTTGACAGGCTTTAAGTTACATGAGGGGTAACCTAGGCCCTGAGGAGAAAGCGCCTCGCAGCCAGCAGCGTTCCCATCAGCTTTTGAAATGAATACTTTAATAGTGGGGATTTCTGTGTTTTGATCATCAACCTCCTATGCCAGCAAATCACTCTGAAACCCCGGCTGTTTGCTGCTCAGCAGAGCCTGCCCCTCACAGCCCCCGTGCAATTTAGGTGATGAAGCCCCAGTGAATGCCGGTGGGAATCGTTTGACTCCACAGAGCTTGCAGGCTCCATTTTCTTCCCTGCTCTTTCCCTTCTCTCTGTTTTTATTGTTGTTACTCCCCAGCAGGCTTGGTTTCTCTTACAGGAAGGATTGTTTCGGATTCCCTTATAAGAGGATGGAGATGCCGGCGCTGACGCCGCATTCAGGCACATCTTTAACTCAGTCCCTTGGGCAGAGCTCCTCGGCACCAGAGCCAGCAGCAGAGGTGGGACATGAACCAGTCCTCTGCAAGACACAGCGTTTGGCTGGGTGGATTTTCTAACGCAAGCAAGGAAACCTCAGGCCAGCCTCCTCCCAGCCTTCGGCAGGCTGGGTGATATCATGCAGGAATGAGGAGGTATGATTCATCACCGCTTCACAGACAAGTCAGCTTTTACAGCCTCTCCTGGTGCAGGAGAACAAAGAGTAGGGGTGGAAGCTCTGCGGGTACCAGCTGCAGCTGAACCGCTCCTCTGGAGGCACCTTTTGAGCGAAGCAAACGGAGTTTATGGTGTTTTGGGTGCGGAACACAGGGCGCTCGCTGTGTTCACGTCGCTGCATCACAAGGCTGCAGCATAGCTCAGGAGTGTGTTTGAAAGGGACACGGTCACACAAACCCTCCTGTGTCAGGAGCCAACGCCTGCAGACAGATTTCACAGCAAACAGCCCGTAAATCAAACTCCCAGAAACTGGGCAACAAGAAGGTGCTTGATGAAACTGGACTTTCCAAACAATGGAACCTTTGTTAGGCCCTTTTCTCTGAAGTGGGATATTCCGGCACAGCCCTTTCCAGGAAGAAAGGGAGGATGACAGCCATTCTGAGGTTTGCTCTCAGCTCGGGGGGGGGGGGGATGCTGAGCAGCTGTGCTGACCACCCATCCCAACGCCAAGCTATGGCTGCGTGCCTATGAGCCATCACTTCGAACACCCTCTAAGCATCTGCTGGGTGCTCCAACAGCCACCACTGGAAGCTGGAATGTTCCACAGCACCTGGTGCTTCCCCTCCAAAGGCACAGTGATCACAGAATCACAGCACGGTCTGGGTGGGAAGGGTCCTTTAAAGCTCATCCAGTTCCAACCCCCTGCAATGAGCAGGGACACCTTCAATTAGATCAGGCTGCTCAGAACCACTTTGAGCCTGGCCTTGAATGTCTCCAGGGATGGAGCATCCACCACCTCTGGGCAACCTGTGCCACTATTTTACTGCTCTCATTCTAAAGGATTTCTTCCTCACATTCAGCCTGATTGTCCGCTCTCTCAGTTTAAACCCATCACCCCATCTCAATCTTTCTTATAGGCCCCTTTTTAAGTACTGAAAGGCAGCATAAGGTCTCCTCAGAGTCCTCTCTAGTGCAAGCTGATGGGATGCACTGGCCAAGAGATCCCCAAACTGATTTACACCCAAATCTGAATCACAGAATAGTTCGGGTTGGAAAGGACCTTAAGATCATCCAGTTCCGACCCCGCTGCCATGGGCAGGGACACCTCACACTGAACCATCTCACCCAAGGCTTCGTCCAACCTGGCCTTGAACACTGCCAGGGATGGAGCATTCACAACCTCCCTGGGCACCCATTCCAGTGCCTCACCACCCTCACAGGAAAGAATTTCCTCCTTATATCCAATCTAAACTTCCCCTGTTTCAGTTTGAACCCATTACCCCTTGTCCTGTCACTACAGTCCCTAATGAAGAGTCCCTCCCCAGCATCCCTATAGGCCCCCTTCAGGTACTGGAAGGCTGTTATGAGGTCTCCACGCAGCCTTCTCTTCTCCAGGCTGAACAGCCAATCTGAGTTAATCCCTTGGAGTTTTCTCCAACATACTGCTCACTATGGATGTTTACAGTTGCGACCACACATTTAAAGACCTATTACACCATTTTCCTACCGCGATGGAGGCGCACTAAGGCTTTACTACTGCGAGCAGCAGCTTTAAACCCCATTGGGGATAAAGGTCTGGGGGGAAACCCCCTGGTAAATCTCAGCCCCCCCGAAGGCCGGGAAGGGGTCGGTTCCGCCCCCGCCACGCCCCGCACGTGCGGGGCGTTGCGGGGGCGGAACCGACCCCTTCCCGGCGCTCCGGGGCTCGGCTGCTGAGCGCAAGTGGGAGCTGGAGCTGCGGTTGCTCGTGGGTTAGGCAGCGTTCCGCCGCTATGTCCCACTCGGTGGTCCTGCGCGGTCCTTCGCCGTGGGGTTTCCGCTTGGTGGGCGGTAAAGACTTCAGTGCCCCGTTGACCATCTCCAGGGTGAGCCCGGGCGCGGAGCGGGGTGGGCGGCAGGTGATGGGGAGCGGGGCTAGCGGGCAGCATCGGTCGGGCGCCTCTTAAGCACCAATTACTATCTTTAGCCCCATATAGAGCGCTTCTCTCTCAACTCAACGCGGATAGCCTTCTCCATGCTTTGGGGTTTTTTTTTGGTGGGGGTGGGGGGGTGTTAAATTCATAAAGATATACTCCCAAAGTGTTCAGTTCTCAGCACTAAGGAGGGCTTGGATTTGTGCCCTGAACTGAGTTCATAGGCTGTTGGAGGGTTTTTTTTAGGCAGGCACAAGTAAAGTCAGCAAGAAGTTTCTCTGTGCAGACTGCTGCATTATAGGGTCCCTGCGGGCTGGTAGTAATTACTGTGTAAGTGTGCTCGCACTTGTGTTTAACCTCACAAAGATGTATTTCTGGAAACTTCTTTCCTAAGACACGGCGGCTAGCTTGAGCTACGCTTTGTGAGTAGATGGATGTGAAAACAAACCATCCCCCGTGCAGGAAAGAGCATGGTGATGGGGTGTGATGGGCTGGGTGATGGATGAGGTGCTGCGACCAAGCCGGGCACGTTCCCGCAGGCAGTGGTGCTTCCATCGCCATCGGCTGGCTTGGGAAGGGGCTGGAGAGCCGAGGCTCCTGTCCTTGCACAGCGCCTTGCAGCGGTGTGGTAGAGCTGGGCTCTCCTGGGCAGCTGCTGCCGCCGGAGTGCTTGAACGCGCCCTGAGAGCACTGAAAGGCTTTGAGAGGAGCTATAACTTAAAAATGCTGTCATAGCACATCCGAGCTGTTTGCTGTCTGTTCGTTCATCTGCCAAAGCTCTGACGAAAAAGGGAAAATGCATTTAAAGAGCTAATTATGGAAGAGAGCATGTTTTAAAGAGGCTTGGTGTATATTTGGGTCCCAATGCACCGATTAGAGCTTTATGTCTCTGGTTTTACCTTGCGCTGTCCCTTACCAAGTGTTCAGAGAGGGCTTTTTGGAGAAGCAGCAGGATATGGATGGACGGGAGGGGAGACCAGGGCAGTGCAGGGAGCAAGGTCTGGCCATGCTGCGAGGGGAGGTACTTGGCTTCTGGGGCTCAGCCTGCACCTTCTGGGCACAGGGCTGTCCTGTTTCTCCCCCAGTAACGTGGGATATATTGCAACAAGACACAAAATCACCTCTCAGTGACTGTAAGAACGTTCCTTGTGCGGAAATGAGCATCCCAGTTGAGTGGAGGGAGCCTCTTTTCCTCTTTGAAAGAAGCTTGGTTTAATATTAAACAAGAAAAAACAAAGTCTGCTTCTGCCTAGGCAGGTGCCTTGCCAAATTCCTCATTTGATTCAGCAGACCTGGGAGGCGTGAGGCCCATTCGCATCAGGCCAGGCTTGCTTTGGATCACAGCGAGCTGTAGCACAAGCGGAGCTCATAGGGTGTTATTTCGTGGTACTTAGTGTGACAGCTTGTACATTAGATCCTGGTTTACCTCTGCTCCCACTGAAGAGAAGGGCGATGCTCCAATGTGTTGCTGCTAACGGATGCTCTTGGGGGTGATAAACAACTCTCTGGGGTGTAAATACAGGTGTAGGGTGCTCTGCTTGGGCTCCAGCCTCCTAATGCAAGGGGAGACCTCACTGGCTTTGCAAATAGCACCAGAAAATGTTAAAACTGGGGAAGAATTAGCTTCTGCTGCAGCTCCTGGCTGTGGGGATGCAGGAGGGGCTTTGCTTGGTCGTGGGTCCCTCCAGCCCTGCCTCTACAGAGGATGGAGCTGGTGTGGTGCCTTATTCCCTTTAATTCTGTCATTGTCTAACCAGGAAATCTGTTCTATCCAGCTTGAACCCCAGGCTGGGCTGGTGCAGGAGGGAGGGAGGCTCTTGCTGCCTAATTGCTGAGGCTTTTGGCTCACTTGTGCTTCCTTCAAAGTGCTTTTTCTTTTTTTTTCTTTTTTTTTTTTTTTTGGTTGGTTGGTTGGTTTGGTTTAATTGTTTTATATTAAAATGCCATTAAATTACAAACAGATTTTGAACAGCAGAAATTCTGCCGGGGGGCAGGACCAGGCTCTGGGATTCACACATCCATCTGTGTGCTGGCGTGCTGGGCTGGATGTGGCTTTGCTGTGCCTCACTTGTGTGCTTGAGGGGGACTGTGAGCATCCTCCCTGCACTGGTTACATTGGGAAGTCATAGGTTGCAGCTGGGGACTGGAGGCATCCGAAAGCCACCCACAGGCAGTGCTGGGTGCCAAAGGCTGGTGGCCTGCTTAGGAAATAACAGCTTGTCTGTGCAGGGGTTGGAGAAAAATACTTGGTTGCCAGCAAGTTGCTTTTCTCTACTCATTGCTCAGCGGCTGCAGAAACAGTTTCTCCCTAGACCTCCACTATCTGTGGCAGCACAGGGATGTATTGCTGCCCCAGGAGCCACAGCGAGGGATGCTCTGCAGTCTGCTGGGGGCACACCGGGGGGTGCAGCTTCTTCTCCGAAGCCTGTCTGATGTCATTGCTCCAGGTTAAGTGCAGGCAGAGCTCCTTAATGTTGTGTTTATGGGACGTGAAGTCCAAGTGTTGCTGTTAGAGGGGAAATAATGAAGCCATCGCTGGGAAAGGAGCTGCCAGATGAGGCTGAGCTGAGCAAGAGGTGCAGGGATGCAGCTGAACACTGGGCAGGGAGAGGTCCCCAGGAGTGGTTTGTGATAGCATTGTTAAAGGGATAAACTTGAAAAACGTGGATTTGGCAGCAAGGAGAAGAAAGATCACAGAGCTCTGCTTTGGAATAGGGCTTGTTTTCCAGGACTCGCCTTAGTCCCCTGCGTGGTCACTGCACTTGTGCAGGTGGTGATGCTGAGCTCGTCTCATGCAGATGTTTCAAATACACTCATGAAATCAAGCAAAGATGGATTTCTCTTGGAAGCAGGTCGCTTCCCTCTCTGGTCTGATCAGTCTTGGCTACCAAGTGGTAAAGATCTGATTGCTCAAGTGGCTGGGAACAGCTGATGCTGAGCATTGCCCTGGGGAGGCCACACTTGAGTTGAAGCATCAAGTTCTGCGCTATTAAAGATAAGGAAGGATAAATACAAATGCAGAAGGGAGTGTAAAGGCCATCTTTCTCATGTGGTCACACAAAGAGCTGGGTGTGCTGGCCAGCCTTCTGTTCCCTGCTTGCATTTTTGGGGGACCCAGATGAGCAGGGCTGGACATCGCTGGGGTGGTTTTGGGGGAACACAGCCTTGGGGTGCTGCAGCAGCCACAGGGATCTGCTGGTGTGGGGAGGGAATGTAACTGTAGCCCCAGATTGTGCTTTGGAGAAGAAACCTGGCTTGTTTTATACCCCCACTCAGAGTAAGCTAATGCCAGGTGTAGTACACTATAATTAATGGTTCCTTCTCCTAATGATATTTATAGGGGAAGGGGAATGACTCAAAACATCTGCTGAGAGTTGGCCTTAATACCTTGGTAGAAAGTGGTTTAGGTCTTAATTAAGTTTCTGGGAGCTGACAGCTGCTTTTCCTTGGTTGAGCAGGTTAACAACTGGGTTCTGTATTTGCCCTTCCTGGGAAAGGGGATTTACTGTGCCTCTTACTCCAGGTACCAACAGCATTGCCTTTGAGCAGCAACCGCAGTTAGGGAGCAGCAGTGGAATAACTTACTCAGCTGCTCTCAGTGTTGTGCTGGTAACCATGTCAGTGAGTGCTGCCGTTTGTGGCATCACATTGATCTACCCCTTGCCTGGGATTAAAAGATAATCATTCATTAGGGTAACGAGAGGAGCTGAATGTGTTTAATCACTTGAACTCGCTCGTCCAGCTCTTAGAGCAGTCGCTGTTGTCATTGACCCAACTCTGCCAGTGCTAAGCCAAGCAGTTGCTGCTGTTAGAATCATAGATACATTGCTTGCTAAGCAGATAATTGACAAATGGGCTGATTCCAGCCTGGTTTCTAAGTTTTTAGGACAGTTTTCCCTGTATCTGCTGTCTTCAGCATCACTTTACCCACTGGTCTCTAGCATTTTTCAGTGTTGACTTGGAGCTGTAACACAAGAAGGGCGAGGAATAATTGGTCTGCAATCCATTATCCAGGTATTGTTTGAGTTAAGGTTGACTTTCAAACTGAAGTAGCTGTTGTACTTGAGCAAGTACGTGTCCTGTTAAAGGTTAGGATACTCGAGAAGGAATTCTGCTGAGGGAGGAATTCCAGTACAAGTGGTCTTGTTGATTCTGTCGGGGCAAACACCTGAGTGCATTGCTGTGATCCCGCTTGAATGCAGAGTTCCCACTTGGAATAGTAATTTCCATGAGGCGTGTTCTTGCGTGCTCCGGGGTGGGGATGGCAGAACAGAAGGCTGGGCGGGTTTCCTTACCCCAGGAACTCCACGTGTGGCAGTGAAAGCAGGAACCAGAGATGCCACCAAAGGGAATGGGGCTTTTTGCTTTGCTTTCCATCAGGGTTTTCTCCTCATTTTACATGTAACTTCTATGGATTTGATTGTTTATTAAATGGAAGTGATGCACTTTGTGCAGAGCTCCTGAATGGACTCAAGTATTTGTGTTGATGAACCCCAAAACTAGGAGCCCAGCAGATTTCTGCTGACTTTTGGTGGTTTTATTGCCTGTATAGACCCAAGTGCTGGTAGCTGTTTCTCGGTTGCGTGTTAAAAATTGTTAGCACCTAATAGTTCAAGTTAGATGATTTTAAGTGGAAGGAAATAGTTTCTTTTCTGTTCTCATCATTCTCCCAGTGATTGCTTGTAAGGTCTCGAGTGAAGGATCTGGGTGGTTCCACTCGAAGCTGTAGCAGTACCCAACTGTTAATCTGAATTACAGGTGAGAACTAACAAAAGTACGTAGCAAACAGATTTGCTGCTGAAGTTATTCTCTCACTGTGGCTTTATTTAATAACTGAAAGAGAAGAATAAATGCTCGCACTGGTTCAGGAGACAGTAATGGTAGAATATGCTGGAATGAAAGCCTGATGCTAATTACTGTAATCAAGCACGCTGGTAATCCAGAGTGGGAAA